TGTCTCCAAATAAAATACAAAATAGGGCTGGGGATGGGGCTCAGTGGTTAAGAGCCCCTGAGAACTCCTTGGTACCAAAACATTTTTTTGCAAGTTACAATCACTTATGTTGGGTATTGGGGAAGTCCYGGTTAGAGAGGCAGCAGGAGCAATCTTCTTATTGGAGCTGTTAATCCTGAATCAGTGCCTCCCAAAATGTTTGCATTGTAAAACCTGGGTCTTATTAGTTTGTTTTTGGGGAGCGAACCTCCCCCCAGCYCCCACACTTACCCCCCACTGTAGCGTGTGGTACTGTGAATGCCTAGAACCCTCTGAAGTATTTTCTTGTGTTGACCTTTGCTCTTTGGTGTCATCAAGGCCTAAGTCTGCTTTGCTTTCAGACAGGACATCTGCAGAGCTCATGACAAATGTGACACCTTAGGTGAGTCCTCCATTCATATCCTCTGTGGCTAAAACAGTTTGCTACACGTTTCTGTTCTAAGTCACAATTGCTCTTTAAAGTAAGTCCTTGTTGGTCTTTTCTTTCCCCTTTCTAATAGGTCTTGCTGAACTGGGAACCATCTGTGATCCCTACAGAAGCTGCTCTATCAGTGAAGATAGTGGACTGAGTACAGCGTTCACCATAGCCCATGAGCTGGGCCATGTGTAAGTGTCACTTCAATAATGTCATTTAATTCGGAGTCACCTACAACTTGCATTCCTTGGATTCTGTGAGCTTTTGCTTGATGTTAGGGTATGTGAGTCACTTTCCATGTCACAGTAGAGTTTCAAGGTTGAAGAACTTTGAACCTAGTTRGGAGAAGTGACCTTGACTTCCAAAGTTAAAGGAACACAGTGCACTGCACCCTCTTCAGCCAGAGCTTGTGTTTTAGTCAGCTTTTCACAGCTGCGACTAAAAGACCTGACAGAACAACAGTGGGGAGGGAGTAGTTTATTTGGGGGCTCAGATTTTTACGAGTCCAGCTCACTTCTGCATTGAGCTATGCATAGCTGTAATTGAGACAGGAAGCACCTGCAGACTGTAATGTCCCTCTTTCAGGGAAGAGAGTGAGCCAGGATCCCCAGAAAACAGTCATTTCCTAATCAAGGCCTCCAAGCGCCTGGCTATAATGAAATGGGTCTTCCCTTTTGTTTCTGTAGAGACAGAGCCCAGTTAGAACGTGGGCTCATCAATGTGAATTGACTAGAAATCGGTCTGATTTTCAATCTGCATTTTTTTCTTTCTATAATAATCAAATCACTTACCCTCTATATTTGGAAAATAATTTTCTCAATCGATGCCATTAGAAGAACATCCCCATGTGTCTATTTGTGTGTCAGACGCTGACTTTAGAGCTAACGTTGTACAATCAGCAAGCTTTTCGTGCAGATGTTTTCTGGACTTACCTGTGGGCAGTGCACTCACACAGATCAAGATGCCCACAGGCACACACAGGTATCTCCAAGCCACTTCAGAAGCAGTGGGTGTATCTTCAAATGAAGACCTTTCAATCGTATTTTAAGAACACGCTCCTCATCCTGAAAGGGAGAGCTCCAGGTGACCACTAACTGAGAACATAAACAGCCAGCTTTCTAGGTAGCTGCTGTGACAGTCCCCAGCATCTTSTCTGCCCTGAAGACTCCTAAGGCACCTCCATGAACCTCAAGGACTCCYTGAGAAATTCCAATTTCAGTCCCCCTCCCCTTGTCCCCTTTGACCTTCATCAAGTCATTAGACCTTTCTRTGGTTCAGTTCCTCATCAGAAAAATGTGGGTACTAGCCCAGTCATCCCTGTATGTCTGTGGGGGCTGATTCCAGGACCCCTGTGGATAGGGAAATGTGCAGATTTGCAAGTCTTTTTTATAAACTTTTTTATACTTTTTTTTTTTTTTTTGGTAAAATGGGATTGAACTCAGGGGTGCTTAACCACTGAGCCACATCCCCGGCCATATTTTATATTTTATTTAGAGACAGGGTCTCACTGTGTTGCTTAGGGCCTCTCTAAGTTGCTGAGGCTGGCTTTGAACTTGTGATCCTCCTGCCTCAGCCTCCCAAGCTGCTGGCATGATAGGGGTGCACCACTGCACCCAGCTATACCTTTATTTTATTTATTTATTTTTAAGTGGCGCTGAGGATGGAACCCAGTGCCTCACATGTGCTAGGCGAGCACTCTACCACTGAGCCACAACGCAGAGGCCTAGTGTTTGCATGTTATCTGCTTTAAATCATCTCTACAGATTACTTATAATACGTAATACAAAATAAATGTTGTGTAAATAGTTGTCACACTGTACTATTTAGGGAATAATGATAAGAAAAAAAAAGGGATGCACATTTTTTTTCTTCTGAATAAGTTCCACCTGCAGTTAGTGAAGCCTGTAGACGAAGGATGTGCAGACTTGGCCKGCAGACTGTGCTGCCCAGGAGGTTAAATAACTGATTAAACTAAATAAAGCATTTAAAACAGTAATCACATTCTGGGTACATTGTGAATGCTGAAAAGTGTTTTTTTTAATTAATTTTTTATTTTTAGTTGTAGAAGGACACAATACCTTTATCTTATTTATTTATTCATTTATTTATATGTTTGTGTTTTGTGAATGCCTGGAATTGAACTCAGGTGCACTCAGTCACTAAGCCACATCCCCAGCCCTATTTTGTATTTTATTTAGAGATAGGGTCTCACTGGTTTGCTTAGGGCCTCATTAAGTTGCTGAGGCTGGCTTTGAACTTGTGATCCTCCTGCCTCAGCCTCCTGAGCTGCTGGAATGACAGGTGTRCACCTGTAATTATTTTCATGTGGGCTAAGGATCAAACCCAGTGCCTCACATGTGTTAGACAAGCACTCCACCACTGAGCCACAACCCCAGCCCTGAAAAGACTTGGTTCTTACTATTTAACCAGGGTTCCATAAATATTTACTATTATTTAACCCCTGCCATGAGCAAATGTGTCTGGCATCTGGATAAAAACAAATTGTTATTTCACATGATGAAGTAAACTTGATTTCATTAAGTAAACTTGATTTCATGATGGGGTAGGAATATCTGCCAGTTACCTTGCACCACAGAGAAGCAAGCTGAGGTTTGAACACTTCCTGGTTGTGCAATGGATGCCTCTGGAGTGAGGGACACCATCATTCCCCGCCCCCTTCCTCTGACCAAGCCAAGAATGGCAAGTATGTATTCATGCTGCTGCCAGGTTCCCTCCCAGGCCCAGGAGGATGGGGGCGGTCCTCAGGGCCTTCTGGGGTCAGAACCTGGGTTAGTTTAAGAACCCTTTGTGCTGGTTTTCATCAAGCCAGCCCCCATATGGTGACCTTGGCACAGAGCACAAGACTATTGCCATCGCTGCGTCCCGCCCACTCCATCTGCATGCCTCTGGTCTCCAKGACCATCATTTTCTTTCATGAAAATGGGCACCCACTTTACAGACCTTTTTTAATGACCTACCTGCCCAGGTGTAACATTTGTCATCCGGGGCCCAAAACAGAAGATGCCAAGACTCACAGTCAGCTCCTTATTAGAAAGCTTGGGCTTCAGAATTTTTATTTTTTATTTTTGTTTTTTATTTTTATTTTTTAGTTTTTTGATGCCAGCAATTGAACCCAGGGGCACTCAACCACTGAGCCCCATCCCCAGCCCTACTGATATTTTATTTAGAGACAGGGTCTCACTGAGTTGCTTAGGGCCTTGCCATTGCTGAGGCTGGCTTTGAACTCGCCATCCTCCTGCCTCAGCCTCCCCAGCCGCTGGAGTTACAGGTGGGCACCACTGCGCCCAGGTTGTCGTGTTCTCCACCCCGTCTCAGGTAGCTTCAGATCTGTTCTGCTGCCCTGGACTCCGATTCTAATCCATAACCCAGTAGCCTTGGTGCTCACGAAGCCCGCCCTGGTGTCCCCTAGGTTCAACATGCCGCACGACGACAACAACAAGTGTAAAGAAGAGGGTGTCAAGAGCCCCCAGCACGTCATGGCACCGACACTGAACTTCTACACCAACCCCTGGATGTGGTCCAAGTGCAGTCGGAAATACATCACCGAGTTTTTGGAGTAAGACGCCACTTTCTTTTAACCGGGTTCCTGGGGCAGATTCCTAGCCAGTGTTCAGAAGGTCAGGGCGGAGCCGAGGAGGAGCCTGGGGTCTGAAAGGGAACGTGTGGCCGTGGCCCAGTTGGGCTTGGACATGTGTGGCCACCTGGGAAGAGGCCCTGTAAAGGCCTGAACGAAAGCCACCCACATCTCTGCACCTGTAGCTTAGTGACCTGGGCACAGGAAGGAAGGGATCAGGAGATGATCCCCAAGGGGGTAGAAATTGGAGCAGCCTCCTTATTGTTGAATGGAGGGTGCATGTCTCTCCTACTCTCCTTACCACTCCCCTTCCCTTTTTATCTGTCTTTCCTTTTCCTGTTTTTGTTTGTTGGTTGGTTTGTTTGGTACCAGGGATTGAACCCAGAGACACTTAACCACTGAGCCCCATCCCCAGCCCTTTTTATATTTTATTTAGAGACAGAGTCTCGCTGAGTTGCTTGGGGCCTGGATGCTGAGGCCAGCTTTGAACTCATGATCCTCCTGCCTCAGCCTCCTGAGTTTATTTAATTATTTATTTTTAACTTCCCACTCAGCTGCTCAAAGATCCAGTTTCATTATAAAATGCCCCCATGCCACAAATATATTGGTCTTCTCTCCCAGTTACCAAAAAGCACCAAAGTTAAAGCAAAAACTCCAAGTCTCTGGCCTGTTTCTGCCACTACAGGGAATGGGTGGATTTCTTCATCAGAACTCAGGGGTGACACTTTCTCAAAACAGGGAAAACATCATTTGCAAAAAAAAAAAAAAAGTGAAAGAACTGGAGGATTCCATTTTTCTTCTTCAGCAGGGGATGTTTTCTTTCTGTGAGTCACTGATTTACTTACTTTTCCCTTTGGCAAATACTTATTAAGCACCTGCTGCTGTGGACCGGGCCCTGCCTTCGACTGTAAGAAGCTTACAGTCTTTTGAGGAAGACGATCAAAAAATAAGCTGATAACTGCCTCCAAGTGCAACCAGTGCCCTAAGAGATTCATACTTCCTGTATGTTGTATGTAGATCTGGTTCTAGAAGTATATACCAAGGATACTACTCCAACTTCTGGACTTAAGATGGTTGGTGGCACTCACCTGTAATCCCAGAGGCAGAGGCAGAAGGATCATGAGTTTGAGGCCAGCCTCAACAAGTTAGTGAGGCCCTAAGCAACTCAGTGAGACCTTGTTTCTAAATAAAATAAAAAATAGGGCTGGGGATGGGGCTCAGTGGTTAAGCACCCCTGGGTTCAATCCCTGGGACCAAAAGAAAATTAAAAAGAAGAAGAAAGCCAAGATCAAAAAGGAACTGTCCTCTTCATTGGACTGGGGGTGTGGCCTCCACGTTGAGGGGACCTTTGTCAGTCCCTCCTCTTACCTTCTGTGTGTCTCTACTTCCTGTAGCACCGGGTATGGCGAGTGTCTGCTTAACGAACCCGAATCCAGACCCTACCCGCTGCCTCCCCAGCTGCCTGGCCTCCTTTACAACGTGAATAAGCAATGTGAGCTCATCTTTGGCCCCGGTTCCCAGGTGTGCCCGTACATGGTGAGTGTTTGGGGCCGTTTCTGTCCTCGTCACATTTGGGACGTCTTGCTCTGCCTGGCTTCCCATTAGCTTCTCACTCGGCCCAAGGACAGTCAAACATGCAGTTGGCACTTAGGGTGATCACTGTGCTGATGGTATCAGTCATGGCTCCATACGTTGGCGCCCTGTGGCATCTCTTATTTTCCYCTCCTGACTGGCCAGAAGGGACATGCTATTGCAAGTGTGAGGTGGGGCTCCCAGGTGGTGCAGGGGCAGAGCTGGTAATCCCAGAGCTTGGGTGTTTCTCTCTCCTTGTCTTCTCTCATGCCCTCCTCCGACTTGTCCGAGTGACTTACAGCGATTCAGTAAGGATGACACAGGAGGCAGGCCTGGCTGCTCCTCCTAGCTTGCCAGCCTTGGGTCCTGGGTCCACTTGGAGCTTCAGATCCTTTCTGGTGGTTGCTCAGCCGGGCTGCTGTGGTTTGTGCCGTGAATGTCTGGACCAGTGATATCATCTAGGGRTGACTGGATAGAAATGAGGAGAATGGTGCTCCTGTGGGTTGCCCCCTTCTGTCCCTTTGGGGCTGTGTGTGTGTGTGTTGCTGGGAGACCCTTCAGAGGTTGCAGAGTAAGTTGCAAAAAGTACAGTGAWTCCATGGAAATAATTTAAAAATTTGAGTCACTCTACCTTAATAATACCCATTTATATGTTACCCATGATGACAYGAATTAAGAGTCATTGACTCTGAGGCAGGAGGATCACGAGTTCAAAGCCAGCCTCAGCAACTTAGTGAGGCCCTGAACAACTCAGTGAGAACTTGTCTCTAAATAAAATACAAAATAGGGCTGGGGATGTGGCTCAGTGGTTGAGTGCCCCTGGGTTTAATCCCTGGTACCAAAAAAAAAAAAAAAAAAAAAAAGTCATTGAAGTGTTAAACAAAAGAAAGGTTAGCATATTTTAGTATCTCCATTTAGTGGAATATTACATAGCAGATGAAAATGATCTACACAAGACACATGTTCCTGCTCATGTAATTTAAGTTAAAGAAAAGGATGAATAATTGCATAGAGTGTGTCTTCAAGTCTCAAAGAGGGGGAAAAGTGACAGGGAATGGGTGGAGAGCTCGAGGGACTTTTTTTCCCCTATTTTTCAGAGTATATATTTAGTTCTTTYTTAATTTTTCTACCATAAGCCTGATTGATTTTGGTTTATTTTAATAATTAGGAAAAATATAAATTAGAGAAATCTTTTTTTAAAAAAAGTATGCATTGAAATAGCTAAAATAAATCTTTCTTTTAA